TTCAGTTTATGAAGAGGACATAATGTCAGGATAGCATGTGACAAAATGCATACGGAATATATTGTGAGACCATAAAGAAACTTCACAGACCTATCCAAAACAAATGTTGTGGGGTGCTGACAGCGGGAGCCTGTCTCCATGACAATGCGCGTCCGCACACCGCTCATGCAACACAAGAGTTGTTGACTTCCTTTGGTTGGTGCCTCAGTCTTCTCGCGCGCGCTGGGGAGAGGGCCTTTTGCGCATGCTTGGTTAGGTACTTTTTTGGGGGGGATATTAAAGTTATTTCCCCTTCCTTTTTAATTTTTTTTTTGTTTGGAAGACATAGATTGGATTAGAATGTCTTTTGCTGCCAAATTTGGTGCCAATTTGTCCAGGGGTTTTTGAGTTCTGTTAATCCTACAAACGAACATTACATTTTTATTTACATAGATTATTATTATTATTATTATTATTATTATTATTATTATTTGAAGATTAATTTCTGAAATCAAAATCTGATTGCTTGCATTGAACCACTGAATCAGTGGGATTCAATGGTTCAATGCAAGCTATCCTGATTCTGCTCCTGATTCATAGAATCATAGAATCAAAGAGTTGGAAGAGACCTCATGGGCCATCCAGTCCAACCCCATTCTGCCAAGAAGCAGGAATATTGCATTCAAATCACCCCTGACAAATGGCCATCCAGCCTCTGTTTAAAAGCTTCCAAAGAAGGAGCCTCCACCACACTCCGAGGCAGAGAGTTCCACTGCTGAACGGCTCTCACAGTCAGGAAGTTCTTCCTAATGTTCAGAATCTCCTCTCTTGTAGTTTGAAGCCATTGTTCCGCGTCCTAGTCTCCAAGGAAGCAGAAAACAAGCTTGCTCCCTCCTCCCTGTGGCTTCCTCTCACATATTTATACATGGCTATCATATCTCCTCTCAGTGGATCTGCTCTGATTAGGAGGAGCGTTTGGGAGTGGGACCCAAAGCAGCCGTCGGAAAGCTCTGCTCTCGTAACTCTTTCTGGCTCCCGCTTGTGGTTCAGGTGCTCTGGCAAAGCAGCACATTTCGATGCTGAGTTTTGTGGAGCCAAGTTTGCAAATATCTATATGGCCCTTCGAATCTCTTGTCTGTGTACATCCCGGTTCCAAGGCAGGCCTCAACAACTGGGCTCCCTCTCAAATCTTGTCGGCTGTAATTTGAGTGCCGATGAAACATGGGCCTCTCCTCTGGCACCTCGGAAATGGCAAAGGAGACGAGACGTGACTCATAATGACACATCAACGCGGGAAACAAAAAGAGCAGCCACTTTCCCATTCAGCTGCCACAAACCATCCTGTTTCCCCCGAGTGAGGAAAAAGACAGTGACATATAGGGAGAGGACAGGTTATCTGCAAAAGCATCACTAGCCCCACTGCACGCAATTACCACCATCTGTATACCAATTAAACTCCAAAGTCTGCAAGTGGATTCATGGCACGCACAGAGTTGGCTTGACAAAGAATGTTCCGAATCCTCTTTTTATTGCCACCTCTCAGCAAGAGATGAATGTTGTCTATCCAGTCTGATATCATCCCTGGTACAAGCCTCCGTGTGTTGCTCATTACCCATTGATTTTGCCCCTTTGCTCGTGCCTTCCCCTTTCTTTTGTTGGAATCTGGTGAATGTCCAAGCTGCTGCAGGCATATTAATAGGATGCTTGGCACCGGAATAGTCTCCGAATTCTGCAGAACTCTTTAGAGTTCAAAAGACGGTCAGAGGGCGAGCAGATGTCCATTGCTGTTGAGTTCAGCTGCTTCTGCTTTGACTTTATTTGGCCTTCCTCCTCCATGCTTCCCACCATGGAAACTTGATGGAGCATGTAACAGTTTTGCTGCAAGCAAAGCCATCCCTGCCATCCCTGACCGAAATTGATTTTGGATCAGAGCAGCTGGACTGGGTTTGTAGTCGGCTGCAGAAGAAAGCAAGTCTGGTGTATTGGCAAGAGTGGGTAGAATAAGTTTGAATAGTTGGCGTGTGGTCCTAGAGGACAAATTGCCTGGGATGCATTGATTGATGTCGTTGGGTGGTAGGTAAGGAGCCAACTCAAAATTTCTGCAAATTGCCTGATGATGGAGGTTATTCCTCACCTGTCCGTGACTCCAGCTACCTTCTCCTATCCCAGTTTGTAGTCTTAGACTATCTGATGTAGCCAGTTTGCAAAAGCTATCCTAATTTAGGAAGCAAATGTTCTCATCCATTATTGAAAATGTAGGCCTCAGCATGTTAAGACACTCCACCTGCAGAAGGGAAAGGACCCATGTTTTTGTTGTTTCTGATGTGTTTTGTGCAAACATGAGTGAGAGACTTTGCATAGGCAGTCTTGTATTTTTGTGCAAAATGTTATTGTTGTTCAAATCCTGCTTAGAAGCTTCTCAGAAGCATTTGGCAGATGGCCACTGTGAAAAACAGAGTATTGAGTAAGGAGGACAAGTACTGTTATTTAATGGAGCAGTTCTTACATTCACTGGAAGATGATGGTCCCCTGTATGATATTGCAGTAGCAATCATATGTAGACCTGCAGTCTACTTTCATGCTAACTTCAACATCACCTTTCTGTCCAAATCATATATATCTACTCTTGCTTTTTTGAATAGTTGGCGTGTGGTCCTAGATGACAAATTGCCTACTCTTGCTTTTTTGACTACTCTTCTAGGAATGACTTCCTCTATATGTGACAGAGCATGTGGAGAGGTGGTGCCATAGAAGCATATAGTCCTCTAATGCTACAAACTGAAACCATTTGGGGTTCAGATTCTATCCACTATTTTCTGGTTGTCCTTGCCTCTAGGCCAGTGTTTCAAAACCTGGGGGTCGAGACCCCTGGGGGGTCACAAGGGGAATGTCAGAAGGGTTTCCAAAGACCATCAGAAAACACTATATTTTCTTTTGGTCATGGGGATTCTGTGTGGGAAGTTTGACCCAATTCCATCGTTGGTGAGGTTCGGAGTGTTTTTTGATTGTAGGTGAACTATAAATCCCAGCATCAACAACTCCCAAATGGCAATGTCTATTTTTCCCAAATTCCACCTGTGTTCACATTTGGGCATATTGGTCCAGATCCCTCATTGTTTGAGTCCACAGTGCTCTCTGGATGTAGGTGAACTACAACTCCAAAACTCAAGGTCAGTGCCCACCAAGCCCTTCCAGTATTTTGAGCATATTGAGTATTTGTGTGAAATTTCATCCTGTATATCAGGTATTTACATGACAAATCATAACAGTAGTAAAGTTATGAAGTAGCAGCAAAAATAATGTTATGGTTGGGGGTCACCACAACATGAGGAACTGTATTAAGGGATTGCAGCATTAGTGCTCACATTTGGGCACATTGAGGATGTGTGCCAAGTTTGGTCCAGATCCATCATTGTTCGAGTCTACAGTGCTCTCTGGATGTAGGTGAGCGACAACTCCAAAATTCAAGGTCAATGCCCACCAAATCCTTCCAGTATTTTCTGTTGGTCATGGGACTTCTGTGTGCCAAGCTTGGTTCCATCCCATCATTGGTGGCATTCAGAATGCTCTTTGATTGTAGATGAACTATAAATCCCAGTAACTACAACTCCCAAATGACAAAATCAATCCTCCCCCAGCCCCACCAGTATTTAAATTTGGATGTATGGGGTATTTTTGCCAAATTTGGTCTAGTGAATGAAAATACATCCTGCATGTCAGATACTTACATTACGATTCCTAACAGTAGCAAAATGACAGTTATTTATTTATCGTGTCATCAGCAACCAGACCATTGTATTACATTTCTAACAGAACAAAACAAACAAACAGATTAAAAAAACCCACAAATTTTGCAAACTTGGTAGTTGATTAAATGTCCTTTGGCCAGTATCTGGCCACTTGGAGTGCCTCTGATGTTGCCGCAAGAAGGTCCTCCCTTGTGCATGTGGCAGGGCTCAGGTTGCATTGCAGCAGGTGGTCAGTGGTTTGCTCTTCTCCACACTCGCATGTCGTGGATTCCACTTTGTAGCCCCATTTCTTGAGCTTGGCTCTGCATCTCATGGTGCCAGAACTCAGTCTGTTCAGCGCCTTCCAAGTCTCCCAGTCTTCTGTGTGCCCAGGAGAGAGTCTCATCTGGTATCACCCACGGATTGAGGTGCTGGATTTGAGCCTGCCACTTTTGGACTCTCCCTTGCTGAGGTGTTCCAACGATAATTACATAATTACAGTTATGAAGTAGCAATGAAAATAATGTTATGGTTGGGGGTCACCACAAAATGGGGAATTGTATTAAGGGGCCGTGGCATTAGGAAGGTTGAGAAACACTGCTCTAGGCTAACTGTTCTTCCACTCACCCCGCTAAAATGCCATGAGCCTGCCCCTAATTGCAAGGTTAGTGGCACCAAAAGGTAGGGTAGAGGAATGGGGGTATCACATCTGTGTTTCTGATACATTTTCCATCTTCCGTGTCATGCCTAGATCTTGAGTCCCAAAATAAAACTGAATGTTGTTGTTGGAATGGACGTCTGGAGCCTCTGCTCGGTCGCACTGCCCTAAGCATTTATTTGTAAGGAAAAGCATTGGACAGATACATTCCAGGCTGGCCTTGCCTTGTCAAAATCAGTTTCAGCTGTGTATACTTGTCTTTGGTATCTGTCACATTTTCACAGCCCATCGATATTCTCCCAGAAGATGAAACTGCTTGTATATCTCGCTCTTTTAAAGAACGAAATGTGAAACAAATTTCACGGTGGATTATCACTCAGAAGGCCCTTTCCATTCATCACATAGTCCGTAATTTCCCAGATAATGTACTGCATCAATCCTGGAGGATGGGAGAGATGTTATAAAGCTCAGCTGGTAACCCCTAAAAAGAAGCAAATTGCATTGTTTTGCCTTTCAAATAAATAAGTAATTAGGATGCACTAATAGTCCTGGCGCTTTTCCTGCACTAAAACAGTGGAAACAACACAACCAACTTTCTGTTTTTTGTGTGTGTGTGTTTGTCATTATGCATCTAGGATATCAAATTGCATACCGCTTGGCAACCAGCAACCCAAACAAGTTCACCACGGTGGAGGTTGGCTCCACAGTCCGGCAGTTTGTGGCTACAGATCTCCTCCCAGAATCAGCGTACATCTTCCGAGCCTCTGCCAAGACGCGTCAAGGCTGGGGGGAGCCCTTGGAAGCTACGGTCATCACTACGGAAAAGAGAGGTAAGACTCCAAGCCTGTTTCCATAAGAGTCCTAATCAGTGTCACCAAAGATGGGCATTTTATCTCCTAGCAATCATCCAGTAGCCACAGCAATAAGTTTCAGAACACCCAAAGTGATATGATGTCACGTCTGGCTCCCATTTTGGACAAATTTGGACCAATTTCTCCTCCTTTTTGATGTATTTGGAACTTTGCCGTTTGAAGGAAGAAAACCACTGCATCCTTAGACTATTAGGGACTATGTATTGTCGAAGGCTTTCATGGCTAGAATCTCTGGGTTGTTGTAGGTTTTTCCGGGCTATATGCCATGTTCTAGAGGCACTTTCTCCTGACGTTTCGCCTGCATCTATGGCAAGCATCCTCAGAGGTAGTGAGGTCTGTTGGAACTAGGAAAAAAGGGTTTTTATATCTGTGGAATGACCAGGGTGGGACAAAGGACTCTTGTCTGCTGGAGCTAGGTGTGAATCTTTCAACTGACCACCTTAATGGCTTGGCAGTGCCTGGGGGAATCTTTTGTTGAGAGGTGATTAGATGTGCCTGATTGTTTACTCTCTGTTGTTTTGCTGTTGTAGTTTTAGAGTTTTTTTTAATATTGGTAGCCTACAACAACCCACTATTAGGGACTGTTTCAAAACAAAACAATAACCTCAAATTGACCTCCAACATATTTTGCTGGGGCTTGGAGCTGGATAGGTCTTCTGTGGCCCTTGAGCCACACTTTGCTCACTCTGCTCAAGATGATAAATTGAATGATTGATTGCATTTAGATCTTACTTGTCTGAAAAAAAATGGGGCTCAGATTAATTTAGAATCTTTCTGGGATTTGACTTTTTTTTTTTTTTGCATTGATACTGTATTATCTTGAGAGCACATCATATTTTGCAGACCATTTCCCATGAACATTTATGTGCTTTTAAAAAATGCCATCACCGGAAAGAAAATGCAGATGGTTGACCATGCGCTTTGAAGAAGGAACATGTAAACAGAGAGACAGGGTTTGATTTCTTCTGCGTAGCTTAGCTTTCTGATGTTATTTTTCATACAGTTTATTTTAGTGATGGGGTGTTTGTGAATAAAGGGCTTATGTATTCCAAGGAGTCGGAGCAAAG